CCTCACCCTTCCTTCAACCTTTTTCTATCCTCCTACTTCAATGGTTTACCTAAACGATCCTTCTTCTTCTTCTTCTTCTTCTTCTTCTTTTCCTGTCTCACGATTTTCCACGAACTATGAATTTTAAGACGATCGTAAAATTCGTTTAAAGTTTTATCACAAGAACTTTGCTTCTCTGTGAACGTTTTTAATAGATCAATCAATGTTTATTAGTCGTGTCGAAGATTTTTGTTAAATATTATTTGTTAGGATAATAATTATTATATTGGGTTATATTTAACTGAAAATGTTATATAAATATATATAATAAAATATAATAACAATATAATATAATAAAATTTAGAGTATTGGTTTTTTTTTTGGGTTTATCAATAAAAAAAGATCTTTTAGCTAATGATTAAAAATTTAAACAAATAATAATTAATTAATTAATTAATTATTATTATTATTATTATTCGTAGAAGACGTCTTCGTTGTTTATAAGATTTATCGATGAAAAGAGAAAAAAAAAAAAAATAAAAAGGAGTTAAAAATTCGTTATCTTTTTTCTTTTTTTTTTTATTCCCGTTAACGTTTGTAGCATTACAAAATTAAATAAAAAGAAAAACGCGCGTTTAGTTTTTTTTTTCTATTTTTTCTTCTTTTTTTTTTTTATCTTGAAGTTGTGCATTTTACAAACGGCAATGACTCAAAACGACCGCATTTACCATTCTTGGTAGAAATACGAGGAGAAGTGCCGTAACCAACCGTGAGGTCTACGAGTATGGGTAGACAATTTATTAATTGTGTCTCGCCGAGTACTCACGGAACCTTTCTCCTTGCTACTCTTTTTTTTCTTATTCTCTCTCTCTCTCTCTCTCTCTCTTTCTCTTTCTTTCTCTATTTCTATAGCTTTCTTTTTCTTTCTCCTACAATTCCCTTCCTCCCTCCCACCCTTCACCTCTTCCTCATTCGCGAGATCTTTTGCGGTGCCCGTTTCGGAGGATGTATGGCGACACACGCACGTTGTCGACCGTTGTCTAGAAGAGAAACTACTTCTCAACTCACCTTTAGATTCGCTAACTTTTTTTTTTTTTATCATCAAGCTTTTTTCACAAAAAAGAACAAAAAAAAAAACAAGCCTAATCTCCGATGTATCTCGTAAAAAGTTTAAAAGGAATATCCTCTCATTAAATGACAAATAAATAGAAAAAAGTGTATAAGCAAATAGAAACCCATATTTTCGATTACACATAATATAAAAAGGTTTTTTTTTTTTTTAACACTCACCCATCAACGTGATCCTGAGTTGTCGTAGTCATCGTAGTCGTAGTAGACGTTTTGACAGGACCATTGGCAAACTCCGGTGGTGGATCAGGTGTATTCGGGCTGAGTGGGCTGATAGGTCGTCTCGAATTAACGTCACCAAGTATATCATCGAAATCAACCATCGGTGCATTACCCCGTACAGATGCTTTTCTAACCAACGATGGGGATGACAATTTCTGATGTTTTATCATATCAGTCGTTGCACCATAAGAAAATGGTTGACTGGTTTGTCTAGCGTGATAAGGAATGTCTTCGTCGATGAAATCAATATTGCCAGATGGTGAAAATGATTCGACGACGTGTTGTTTTCTACCATAAATGTCTGCCGAAGATTCGGATAATTTTCTATCGGGTGATACACGATGATACTCGTAATCATCCCTACGATGTTCGTTGTTAGTTTTTATTGGACTATCTCTATATTCATTTTTAAGTGTACTATAACTGCTGCTAGAGTTGTATGGTGGACTTGATTCTTTGGTGACGCTGTAACTTCTGTAGGAATCTTTCAAGGTCGAATAGGTAGATGCACCACCGTGACTACTGTTCGTGTGACTACTGTAACTACGATTTTCTTGTACGTAAATCTTATCGTTTCTATCCGTTCTTGAATAATCCTCTTGGATTGGAGGATCTGGCATTGACTAAAAAATGATCCACTTGATGATATCCTATTACAATATTCTATGTGTATGTAAACTTACCTCAACGGTTAACATCATATCGTGAAGAAGTTTATCAAGATCACCGTGAGCCTGATTATCCGGCTCGTGTTCAGGTGGACTTGGTCTTTGAGGTGGTGCACTGCTGATACCGCTGTCCATGGAAACTGTCAGTGGTGAACCGCGAGCACCACCTGCAGCACCCTGGTGTACAACCGCGTACAAGGATCCATCTATAGGTCCACAGGTGTAACCTAACCCACGTGGTGATGTTTGAACGGAAGAATTCGATGGTGGTGGTGGTGACAACGGTGTCTCCCGGCCTTCTGGAAGATAGTTGTATTTATATCATCTACCATTTTTTTTTTTATATATTTTATAACAAAATATATATATGAAATTAAATTATGTATATACAGATTTATTCAGTGGTAGTTTTTACAAAATTAACATTCATTTTGTTATGTTAATATTGAAATTAGGTGAAAGGAATGTTCATTATTTATTATATTGTAATTATTTTAATATATATATATATATATATATAAATTACGTCACGTCACGTTGTTTGTCCACAATGGATTCCTAAACTACTTAACCGATTTTAATCAAATTTTGCACACTGTGTGCAGTTTCATCCAACTTGAAAGATAGGATAGTTTATATCTCAATTTATAATTGCAATATTGTTTGTTTATTAACAAAGAGTCATGATTATCTTTGTTAGTTTGATAAGATTCTAACAGATGGTAGTATAAGGTAATTCATTGACTTAAAGACGTGTGTATCGTACTGATTGTGAGCCACAGTAAATCGTGGCGAGGTACCCTTAGTAAAAATATTGATTATTTATATATTTATTTTATTATTAATTCAGAATTTATTTTTTTGGTTCATTTATTATCAATAGAAATTAATTTAGAATAATAATGAAAGTTAGGATTGGGTGTAGGAGTGTGGGAAAGATTTAATAAGAGACATTTAAATATGAAAGAAATGAAAGGAAAAAAAAAAAATGATAAAAGAGAGAACGAAATGGTAGAAACTTAAAAATATAATAACATAATACAGATCTTTTCGTAGACGGTTTTTCTTTTTTTTTTTTTTTTTTAAATGATTCTTCTCTTTCGTAAGAAATTTTACCAGTGAAGGGTAAGAAAAAAATAAAAATAAAAAAAAAAAAGAAGTTATATTCTCAGACGGAATTTCTTTTCAACATTCTGCGTTCGCTAATGGTTTAGCAAACGTCTACTACTACTACTACTATTACTATTACTACTACTATTGCAAGAATTTCAATATACTTATGGTTGCATTTTAAAAACCATTTTACCAAGTCGATGAGAACTACAGTACTTGACTAGCACTTTACTTACTATATAACTTACCTCTTTCTGATAATATATATTTCTTTTTTTCTCTCTCTCTCTCTCTCTCTCTCTTTCATTCTCACACACACACACATACATATACTGTCTTTTTCTCTCACACTTGTTCTTTACTCTTTTTTCCCCCGTCTTTTTTTTATTTTTATTACATTTTGTTAGATTCATTTGCTCATTTTATTCTTGCATACCGTTTTGGTTATTGCATCTTGGTATCTAACAAGCCGGTTTCTCTCTTTCAACGTGAGAGAAATACGAGCCCGAAGTACGAGGTGCCACTCTAATTACAGGCCACGTTGAAAATATGAAAATTAAAACGTGATCCAACAACGATGATACCAGCCTTTTGAATAAAACGTTTTTCCCCTTTACGTACATATCCATATATATATATATATGTATATAAACGTATGATTTTTTTTTAAATCTCATCTTCTTCCTTCATCATGAAAAGGGATGAGAGAAGTAACTTTGCGGTTGGAGATAATTCGAGAACGCGTGTTACATCTTTTTATCAAGTAACGTTGTAAACGCGTTAATCCTTTCTGACATTCGTCAGTTAAAATGACCATAATTATCTTAATGTCTTGTAAGAAAACTCGTGACTCGAATACCACCTACTCGATCGAATAATTATTTTTCTTCTCTCGAGTGTATATATTTGTGTGTGTGTGTTTTTTTTAAATCTTTTTTTTTTTATTCTGCTTTTCACACGATAACATAATATCTTATATTACGTGTCGATTAATAAAATACCAATGAATAAATTGGTTGAATGCACTATAGTATATAATAAAATAATTAATAATATAATAAAAAAAAAAAAAAATAATTCAGAATAATTTTCTTTTTATTTATTATTTATTATCCACATTGTCTACACCTCGTTGCAAAAAGTATAAAAGAAAAGAAAAAAAACAACTAAATTTGCATTTCTTTCTTTCTCGATGTCGATTCAATGCAAGATAAGAAGCACCCATTTACCATACACACATACACAAATGAAAATATATATATATATGTATAGTTGGTCACAATATTCATTTACATATACGAACGAAATTTGAATAACAAATTCAATCAGCCCGTTGAGCTGCTTCATTTGCAAACACCCGTTTCACTTCCCATAATTTCAATTAATCGCCCTACTCGAATTTTTTCACCTTTTAAGGTATATCCCTCCTACCTTATCCCCAACCCCCTTTGTCACTCCCCCTTTTTTCGTGTGTCAACCAGACAATTTTTTAACATATCAATCTCGTGCTTTTTAACGATATTGTATCGTAAATTTGATAAAACGTAAATGCTGGTTATTTTTTTTTTTTTTTTTTTTTAATTTTTGCATACAATCTTGACGAAGGATGACGATCATCCCCGAAGTATATTCATTTCAATTTTTTGTTTATATTCATTTATATTTATTATTAATTAATTCATTCTAATTTTTTAGAATCTTTCGTAATTTGTATTATTGTTATTATTATATTTTATTATTATATTATTTTATTATAAATTTATAATAATAAATAATAATAATAATAATAATTAAATTATTATAAATTTATAATAAAATAATATAATAATACATAAATAGTATAATTATAATAATATAATTATATTATATATAATAAAATAATAAAATTTTATTTTTTTATTTTAATTATTTTTAAATTATTTATATATAATATAATTAGTATTTGTAATTGTAGGAATACAATAAAAAAAAAAAAAAAATAAACAAATGTTTGCGAATTTTACAGGGTGTTACTTTCTCATACTTTTTTGTTTTGTTTTACTTTTATTTATTTCATATGATTTCTTTTATTTTTTTTTTTTACGAAGACCACCCAGTGATTTTTTTCGAAGAACCTCAAAGGATATTTTGCCCTAAAGGTATAACTCGAGAATAAATTTTTTTCGAGGAAATATATAACAAGACGGAATATTCTCATCGGCACCGTTCGAAGAACGGATAGTTTTGCCTCAAGGTATTACGTGACTTTAAACCAAGTATAATATATACACGATATATAAGTATGATAATATAATTGTGAATATATGCGTCGTAAGTTGCCACCATTTCATTGAATTTGCCTTAAGGGTTGAATGATATCTTTTGAAAGAAATATTTGACTATATATAAAAAAAAAAAAAAAACAAAAAAAAAAAATAAACGGTTGATTCGAAATATCACTAAGAAAAGTGGTAATTAATTATGTTATTTATGATATTTCGATGTGAAATTGAAAATTTGTCAAAAAAATTGACAACGATTTATATAAATGAAAAATACGAGATTATAAATGTGTCATAAAATGTCACTAGTTTAATTAAATTTATTTCGGAACACACGGTATTATATAAAATGTTTGATGAACAAAAAAAAAGAAGATTAATTAAAATGACGATTTAAATATATAATAATAATAATATAATAATAATATATTTATATATAATATATTATATATATATTTTATTATATATAATAAATTTATTTTATTTTATTATATATTTATTTTATATTTATTTAAATTGTCTATATGTTATATTTTATATTATTAAATATTTATTTTATATTTATTAAAATTGTCTAATGTTATATTTCATATTATTATATATTTATTATATATTTATTATATATTTAAATTATAATAAATAATATATAATAATAATAATATAATAATATATTTAATTATATAATTAAAATTAATTAAATTAACTATGATAGATAGAAGAGAATTTTAAATTACATTATTTCCTCTTATAATCTTTCAAATCAGATGCATCAGATGAATTAGATGAATTAGATGAATTAGATAAATTGGTGATTTAAATATTATAAATAAAAATCAAATAGAATTTAATGAAAATTAAAATAGAAAGTTGAGTTGAATTATGGTTGTGTTATATTCTGTTGAATTCTCGATAGAATTAGACGAATTTGATATTTGAACGTTTCAAATGAAATTCGATGAAATCTAAAACCGATCATAGCTAGATAAAGTTACACAAGTAATAATTCTCAAAAGGATAACAGATAAATACTGTATTACATATATCTATATAGCATGACAGATCTTCGAAGTATAATTCTCTTGGTATATTTAACACGTGCATGTTGCAGCTGCGATTATAATGCCATAACTGCAGATCATACATACATGCATTTATACATACATACATACATACATAGATATATGCAGTTACGAGGAAGGATAGAACACACATAAGAATCACAAAGAAGATTTATTACTGCAAATCATACGTTAACGTGACTAAACTTTTTACCAAAACTTTGAATTTTTCATCTAACGAAAACACAAGTTCTACTACATTGTAAAAGAATGTATGAATTATGTAGGTGTTATACAAAGCTTCAGGTAACACGAGTATAAGAATAAAATCAATCAATTTATCGATGTAAAAGAGAAAGTCATTGTAATACAAGTTTGTATTAACAAAAGATCGTTTTATAATAAAATAACTATTTGTAAATTTGATTATTTATAAATATGACAATCTATATATTTAATTAATTAAAAACAATTCCATTGATATCTAATTAATATCTTTACTTTTAATTTATACGTACCAATGATAACAAATTTTTAATATATATATATATATATATATATTATATTTTATATTATATATATTATATTATATTATATTTATTTTTTTATTAATTATTTATATATTATATATATTTATATTATTTAAACATATAATATAAATATATATAATAATTATATTTATATTAATAATTATAAAAATATAATATAAATATATATAAAAAAATTCGAATATACATTATACATATATATATATATATATATAGAATCCATATTCACATATGTGTTTGTCACCATGAGTGCACGCGATATCATAAACTAAACTTAATTTGTGAAATGTAAAGGTAACAGGAACACCGAGTAAAC